GCAGCCTGTTAGCCGCGGTCAGGTAGGAGATTACAAACAGAAACACTGTCACATACAATGGCGCTACGCGGCTGGACAAGCATTATAATAGCAACTAAATCCACCTTCTGAGCCTTCTCTCTCTTACACATAGATGTATGTGTGCATACACACTCTCTGCAGGGAGATTTACTGGCAATTCAAACAGTGGATACAAACTGTAGAGACAACAATAAGATGAGTACAGTCTTTATCCTCAGGCAGCTGCACAGACACACACACATCCTGTACAATGGTATGTTCATAACTGCCATGCAAAACAGCGTCCACGAATACACAAGCGCGCACACACACACACACACACACACACACACACACACACACACACACACACACACACACACACACACACTGGTAGAGAGTCAGCACTAACGCCTGCTGGCTGCTTAGGTCTGCCAGGTTCTCTGTTTTGAGGCCATCAGGGTTAATGCTGTCACCATAGAAACGATGCTCCAGAGCCAGAAGTAGAGCACCGTGCTCTTCAGCCATGTCACTATGGTGACCTGGGAAAACATGTTCAAAGCAGATAAGATTCATTTTGAAGCAAGCCCTAATATTTTTTTTAGAGATGCAGGTACGGTACACGAGAGGCTTAAAAGTGAGTGTAACTTTAAAAAGTTACAAAGTGTCATGTGTCCAGCTACACTGTCCTGCTACGGTCTGAGCAAAAATATGGAAACTATTAAGTGGTAACTAATGACTATTTGCACTATTGATCAATTTTATACAAACAAGATGATGCAGTTTAATAAATAAAAGTTTATAATATTCAATCACATAGAACCACGATGTACTGTAGATACAAAACTATGTTAAATATACACTAACTGGACACAAAATGTAGAAATCTAACAAAAGACATACAGAGACGCATTGATTATAACATGATTCCTAGAAAATATGAATAATTATGAAATTCGAATTAATTGAAATAGCTGCAGCTCTGTGCTTTTTTACGAACTTTGACCTTTACCGTGAAAGATTTAAGGTCTGTAATTAATTTGATTTCGGGTGGAAGTGTATTTATAGATAACAGGCTTTTACAGAGAATGCTGATCTTCTCCATATTGCTGTGATATTTTACACTTCCTGTTTACTATTCTCCTAACGATTCTTCTTCTCTTTGGTCATTTCTTGAAAGAGGCTCTGGGGCTAGACTGTTTGCACATTTGAAGACAAATTTCAGAAAACACGAATGAATGAACTCTCGATATATATATTTTTTTCATTAAAATATGACAGTGGTGCCATCAGAAAGGCTTTTCATCTATAATCTTCTTGATATATGAATGGTGACGGTGATGACTGAGCCTGTACTGCCATACAATGTGAAAAACAAGAAAATATCAAAATGATAGCGTTGAATTAGCTGTGAAAATAAGTATAATTTCTTGTCAACCATCATTTTGGCATTGTGCTTAGAAAAATCCTAAATGATCTAAACTATTATCAAAATAATGAACTAATGATTTATAAAAACCAACATCTACATGTAGTTAATAGCTATAGCCATTCAAATACAGCCTCCTCCCTGACCTTGCTGGACCTATTAATCACTTTCCTTATTTTCTGTCATAAATGCACTGTGACTGCTGTCTGTGCTCATATTAAACACGGCCGGTGTTTATAAAAATTAGGTCAGTGTATAAGTTGTAGTAATCGCTGTGAGGATAAAGCTCACAGGCTTCAGACTGATCTAAATCCTCAGTATTAGACATTTTTTTCTGTGATTGGATCTGTATGATGTCATAGAAAAGGGATAACTATAATAAAAAGTATGCATTTTATTTATATACACCTTTCAAGACACTCAATGGTAAAAGCAATTAAATAACAAAATCACAGTATGGACAAACTGACAAACTGACTGAATTAAACATCAGTGGTTCATAAAATTAAAATTAAACAGAAAAAGCAAGTTTTTAAAAAGTCTGTTTTAAGGCTTGCTTTAAAGATAGGGAGAGAACCAGTGTCGCAAATGTGGAGAGAGTTACAACGACAAGGGGCCAATCGGCTGAAAGCCCATGGTGGTGAGGCGAGCAGATCAGGAAGATGTTAGAGAACGTGAGGGAGTGGCAATGTGCAGAGTATTAGTGACATGGGATATCATTAATATGACGATCTCTGCAACACACTTTCTGGCTATATGAGTACAGAAGCTCTGCTTACCAGCTTTTCAAGTATTCTGTTTATGTGGGGAAGCCAATCAGAAGAAAGGTTGCTTATAGGAAAAATTGACGAAAAGGGGAAGGGAGGAGGAGTTCAAAGAGCTTGCAAAGTGACTCTATTAATATATAATAGGTCTTCTTTAAAGTTTTGTCCTTGTTAAACAACAATCTACGTAATATTAATGATTAGTGATCTACTGTATATTACAAAATTGTTCCACAGTATATTTTTAGCAGTAAAGTATGATAACAGGTGAATTTAGTATAGAAGCACTGTGTCTGTGTGTTTTAAAATTGTAACCCAGTACCAACATCTACTTTTTCCTATGTCTCTTATACACGCTTCTTTGGGGGATTACGGGTACTTACAAAACAAGTTTTAGGGTACAAAAAAGACAAAACACAGATATACTCGCAGATGAGCATCACTTTACCTCCAAAGTTTGATTCTTAATTCATTATGTTGCCAGTTCAGATCTGTGAAAGGCACAAACAGGTGACGATATGTGCTGTATTTTACACTACCTGTCAGAACATCATACTCAACGAGGGGCCCTTCTCCCCCAATGTAGAGAAACACCGGGCCATCAGGATGCTGCCAGTATGCCTCATTCACAAAGAACCTCTGGAGGACATTGAGAAAAGTACAAGAAGAAAGACATGCTTTATTTATGCTCGCCCAAACCGGCAGCAGTGCACATTCAAGGACTTGCTCTGAATAATCCTTTACTTGATGCTGGAGTGGGCAAATTTGCACATTGGCAGCCTCAAATGGCTGCACGAGCTAAATGAGGCCGAACATTTCAGTTCATGCTGTTAGGAAACGCCACCCTGTCACTCCCTGCTGAATCAGGAGTGATGAAAAAGGTTCATCTAGTCTACATTTCTCTGAATGGACCGCTCACTCTCTGCTTCTTAAGAACCACAGCAACTCAGTTTAGCTCTTATCTCCACAACAAAGTGAAAGCAGCAGGGTTCAGTGGGACGGGACACTTGCTCTGCTGCACGCAGCCTATTTTGCGATTTGAGCTGACAGGGCATCTGTTTTATCAGCGTCACTGCAATCCAAGCAGTCTTCAGAAATATCACACGATGGCATCTTCTCCAGTGCTTTAAATAAATTATGGCCTCCTTTTGGTTCACAGGATCTGACTGATGGAAGAGTTCTCTTATCGTTAACATAGATTTTCAAAGACCTCTCAAACATCAAGCCTTTAATTATCAGCACCATGCACTCGCACTGGAGAGGTCTGTGCCCAGAAGTGAAATGTAAATTTAGAGTCATATTTAAAAAGTAGAAAATGGATATCGTCCATATTTAGCCAAGCCGACATTTGATTCTCTTTGATGCAATGCCTACAGATAAGATAAGACGATATACGGAAATAACATCAAAAACTAACATTTCGTAATATTCTTCATTATCTTTTAAAAAAAATCCCTAATAACATAACCACACCATTTCAAATCCAAAATATTAAAAAAGGGGACGAGATGCTCCTAAGGGAGTGACAGGCAGACTCTATCTTTGATCAAACCTCTGGCATGCTCTATTATTTTGTCTGTTTAAATGTCATGCCAAAGTTGGAAGAAGCTCTCTGAGGCCTTCAAAGACAAGCTTGAGCTTATTAGTCTAACAGAGAATAAAAAATGATTTCTAAATTTCAAACAAAGGAAACAAAACTTGAAGTTGGTCTGGACTTGGACTGGCTGCTTCAGCAAATTCAGCGCGAGAAAAGACAACCTGAAATAGAAATTCTCAAGAACCACAAAATATTATCAGAGAACCTGTAAATAACTCTTGCAAATGGTGATACCTAAAAATGCAAATTTTACACATACAAAGCAGGCGTTATGAAATGATGTGCTCTGAAGGGAAATGTGTTTGCTGCATACTAAAAATAGCATTTTGGGAGAAGAACCAACTATGAAGCACTGTGGTGGAAATGTTCTTCTGCATCAAGTCAACGAGTGCTTGAAAATAATACGGTTGTTTATCTGAAGGTTTGAGCTGAACCTTTTGTAATGATAAAGATTCTAAACACGCTGCCAAATTCAGTGAAAAACTCAGATGTGAATCCACGTGGGAATCAAAGATGTCAAAAAAGTCATTACAAAACACCTGTAAGAAGTTATTTTTGCTAGAGCAATAGCAAAATTTCCTTTTTCCACATATGATTATTTTATATATTTTTCAGTTACATAAAAGTTTTGTTGTTTTTATAAAAAAAACCCTCATTAAGTCTTTTTCTTTTAACTGCCTTTAAGTGAATAACCTTTACGTGCAGGCAGGGGTGTGAAGCATTAAAGCATTGCTCAGCGTTCCTCTACCTGAGGGAAGGTGTTGCTATTTTGTTGGTTGAAATGGTCCAGGGGCTGGACAATCCAACCCTCCTTCACGTGGTGGAGAGGCTGATGAAGACTGACTGTGAGCTTCAGGAGAAGCTGCTTGTTTTTCTGAAGCTGGTTGTCACGTGCACGCCTCTTGATCATCCTCAGAATCTGTCCTGTTAGCAAAAAACAACAAACAAAAAAACATAGGACAGAAAAACAACTGTGAAACTGCTTAAATTAATGAATCGAAACTTGAATAGTTTGTAATCTAAATCATAAGCTAAACATAATTTATGCAAAATAATGGAGAACTTGGCACCGTCCTAGCTCTGTTGGCCAGATTAGTGATATGAACAGGTGAACCATATTTTGTTTTATCTAAACAACTGATTGATCCTCATGTGACTGAAGATGATGAATGAATCCAAATTTGTCTGTCATGGACTGCCCAGCGTGGGATCATCTTGACAGAGAACAGAGCAAAAGGCAGAAACATCCAAAAAGAGCTTTGAATGACATTCAAGAAGTCTGGAGAAATATTCCTGAAGACTATTTAAAGAAATTACAAAAAAGTTTGACCAAGAGGGTTCAAGCTGTGTTGAAGAATAAATTCATAGAATTGTAAAAAACCCTGTTTTTGCCTTATATACTATATTGTATACATTTTAAACATTTTAATAAGCAGTTATTTCTTAATTCCCTAGGAAATTATGAAGCAATAAGGAATTGGTCAAGGCCTGTGCACAGTACTTTATATCAAGATCTAAAGTATCACATTTAGTGGAATTTTCATTAACTCACCAGAATAAACAAAGTTTAAAAGTAGCAGAGGAAGGAGACAGCGCAATGTTAAGAAATTCATCTTAAATGCTATATCCACTCTGTAACACACAAGACGTCACTCTGTGGGTCCCATATATAGTCCCTGAAGGGCTCCTGTGTGT